TAGATTTCATACCATTTTCTTGAATTTTTCTTATTCTATCATTTTCACACATGACCTTTAAACGACACTTTCTTGCAGTTATTGTGTGTTTGGTCCATAAATCCAAGTCTATATGAAAAAACTTTATGCAGTCAGACAAACACATGCAGATGTAATATTTTTTTATAAAATTACACGTACATAACTTTATTTAATGAAAATACATGTAAAGTAAACAATAAAGTAAACTAATGGTATTTATAATAGTATACAGGGTATGAAACAGTATGAATGTTCAGTATATGACACTATTTTACAAGGTGATACAAAGAAACTCACAAAAAGGAAGAATAAAACTCGTAGTATAAAAAAGGAGCTAAAAGCTATCTATGAAACAAACCAAAGCTAAATTATTGCAAAGGAAAGTAAATTTAAAGATGTAATGAAGGCAAATTTAGATGATTATGAAGAAACATCTGAATGCGTGCTCACAAAGTTCACAAAGCACATAGTTTAGAATGAACTACGCATGCATATTTTATACCTAAATAAGTCGAGAAAACCCATAGAAATTGTATTTAATGCAATGTTAATTTTTTGTTAATTACACGTGAGATAAGTGTTGTTTGTGTGAAATACTTTGTAAATCAAAAAAATAAAGTTGGAATCGAAGCCAGTCATCATGTAATAGCAATGACATTGTGCCATCATGTACCATACTTGTTGCATTGAAATGTTTGACTAACCAAAATATAAGTAAGGTGATTCTGCATTGAAAAGCTAATATGCAATCCAGTCTTCTCAGACAAAGACCTGTCTAATGACATGCGCTTTGTAGCATTTAGTCGAGAAATTTGCAAGATAAGTTCTGGACAAACAAATACAAGTGTACTATTTAAATAGATATTTACTTGGCCATTTGAATTACCACAAAATGTGTTGTCATTACTTTATTGTAAATATTAGAATTAGTATATTGTTACGTCTCCGTTTGTTAATTGATTTTCCGTAAATTCGTTCCGACGAAACTTT